TAAATTAAACGACGTGATGTTAAGGAGAGATGACTCACTGCAAAAGTCAGGCTTTCGGAGGCTATCCTGAATTAGACAGTTGACTGACGGTTGAGTATCTCTTCCGATTAAAAGAAATTTCATTCACTTACTGTGTTCCAGAATTCATAAAATCTGTTCAGAAGGTAGGGTGGATGTCGAAATTGAAATATCTTAGGACAACACTATTGAATAATGGGTGATCTAGAAGATTTATTAAGAAAAGCCCAAAGAAACAAATTACTTCTTACCCTGTTACAGTCTTGAAAAAACCATAATCATGAATTTGCAATTCGAAGGATAAGCCACACCTGAAGTGTTGAAGAGCCGTCTGTGGAAATGTATCAGTTACACCGTTTATTCTACTAAACTGAGGTTGTTCAATTTCTCGGGCTGTCATTCAAGTTGACAATGCCTAAAGTGTAGGTTGCCATGTACGTCCACAACTATGTTTATATAGTGGTTCATGTGCTCGTATGGAGCTAACTGTATAGGGAGATGTAATAGGGTTCCATGAAAACGTATTATCGAACACTACACGGTTTGGACTACAAAGGCGAGCGAAAAGAAACAACTTCCTCCTTTTATGAACGCATAATTGAGATAGGTCATTCAGCTCCTCAAGATTCCTTCATTAAGTTTATTTGCAAAACTAAATTGGAATACCCCAATGGTCAACGTTTCTACCACATAAGATAGCTGAGGTGCTAGCTATCCATATACAAAGTGTTTTGTTTAACCAATTTCTTTACCTTACCCTCAACAACTGATTTTTGTTAGTTTGTCAATTTCATTTTACTACACTTTGTATAATTCAGTTTAACTATCATCATTATAAGAATTTTTCAATTCTCTGACTGCACTTGACCTTTATTTATTTGCTTGAAATCAATTCGTTCCTATCTAATGACGCATTTTCTATTTCTACCACTTGAACGAATCCTATCCATACCGTCTCTGGTTATCGTATGTAAATTGACTGAGCAACATTTTAGTGCATTTATCTGACATTTTACTGGTTGCAAATACGACTCCACTGATTGATAATAAAGTCGTGGAAAAAAAATATTTCTTTGTTTGTAAAAATCTTGTTCTTCTTGTTCATGAATAAATGGGCATACTTCGTCAATTACTGGAAATATGGAGTGCTAAAGTGATACGTACTATTGTTTGTACAATATAATCGAAGAAAAGAAAACCTCTGATGCTGTGGATAGAGCTGCTGGTCTAAACCCTCAGTTTTTATTGCTAAATAACTAGGAGGTAAGGGAAACGATATAGAGGTGTTTGGTGGCATTAAAATCGAATCTACATTGAGTGGAATACGTTGAGATTCTTAACTCCATCTTTAGAACTCGTACGTCTAAAGGAAGCGATTTTTCAATGAATTCGAATTTATGTAAGTATCAGCGCGTTCTCATCGATCCAACAGTAGATTATTTCGAATGTCAGCTGCCTGCTTTTACTTTGAACTACAGAAAATTTTCCAGCGAATTTATTTCGCTAAATTCTTTCCTTTCAATTTATTTTAGTTTTTTAGCTATATCTTTTAAATGTGTCAAGTACTCTTGCACACTTTTAAAATGGTTTCATACTAACAACAAAATAAAGAATACTCCAGCAAGAGATGGACCTATAAAAGCATAAAAATACGGTATAATACTATTCCTTGGATAAATATGTCAAACTGCAGATTTTGGCACTGGCTGAATGAACTACCACCACGGAAATCACGCTCGATATTCTATTCATTCACCAGTCCAAACCAGAAAATAATGCGATTCAAGGGTGCCTGTTTCATATTGTAGCTCTTATTATTTTCATTATCAACGTTATTCAAAAGCAGTGATTATTCCGCCCAAAGATATTGAATAGGGAAAGAATTTGTTGAACTATTACATGATGAGAATTCCATAATGAAGAACTAGTCTTGTTTGGAATAAAACTACTGTTATTATTGTCGTTGTTAGTTCGTTTTCATTTCCACCATTACTGTACTCATATTCATTTTATTCACTGTTAGCGTACAGATTTTGGAACTTCCAGTAAAATTGTCACTGGGATTAGTCGCAATAATGTATTTGTAGTCAATTACAGTTCTTACGTAGTATCCCATATGGAAATGAAGCTTAGCACCATTTATGTTCTGCCGAACCTAAACATCTTGATTTTATTGTGAACTTATTTATAATGAATATTTGCACACAGTGATGGCAGTATATCGATTCAATGGTCACACAACCATTACCGAAATTATTTGTTCAATAACACCAACAGTTAGTGTGATCATGTGCAGGTTTATGCTCGAAATATTACCATAATTGTGGGCAAATGTTGATTAGATATATATAAATAATAAATTGATTCTCTGCACAAGGCACAAATGTTTCATGGATTTAATCATCTTGATTTTTTAAAAAGAAATTTCTGGGGTTGGTGCGTACTAATGGACAGTATCAAACAGAGAAGAAGTATTTTTTGTATACTTTTACTGAGATCTAAATTTGTGATGAACCCTTCTTCCCTAATTGCACTTTATTGCACAAGAAGTGTGTTCATACGAAGTTTGCAAAATCGTATGGTGCTACAGTAATAGACTTTTTTCACACTCACCACACCTTCATAAAAAAGACAGGAAAAAATCTTCCTAACCGCAGAGAATTATGAACGGTTAGTGTCCTTTAAATACACTAACATTCTAATAAATTTGAAAAGTGGATGCATTTAGTTTTACATACCAAGTGGAAATTATCCAGAGTTGAGGAGAAATAAATGCTCACCATATCAATATCCACAGTTGAACAGAATGAACAAATGATTTGAAATACATTAATGCAGCCACCCGCCTTGACTGGTAACATTCTCAAAATAGTTAAATAAAGTAAGGATACAGAAGTCTGGAAGCTTGCTGGCTGGAAAATGAGAACCAGATAGCTGTTTTAAAATTTCTTTGGTGACATTTTTCTCACAGAAATGAATCTAATTAAATCCGTTATTAATTATAAAATGTCTAAGCGCACACCTCTAAACCTAATTGTGTTGAATCCCCTCGAAACCCGGAGAACAATGAATGCATACGGTTCCCATGATAAAAATTGTACAAGCACAACAAAACAAATCAGAAATATAGTCCTATGAAGTATCTACGAAACCTACTTGTTCATCGAATTCTTTAAATTGGAAAATTTTGCTTTTCGTTAGTAACTTTACACCACAAATTGAAACCTCGGCAAAACAAGCAACCCTAGTAATAATCAACATTTTCTCCTCACTGGTAACAACTTGAAGTCAGATTTCATACTTTGATGTTAATTTTAGGAATCCTCCAGAAGTTGGCAAGTCAACAAAGTATCATGAATACATTTTAAGGCATATATTTTTTATAGGATGGATTTCCAATGAAACACGTGATTAAAGCAGTCTAAAATAGGGATTGGTTAGGTATTTGAACCAATAGAGAACAAACAACCTTACTACTGGATCCACACTTTTTGGGCTGAAAATATTTCCTTTCAAATGAACCTTGTGTTTCGTGAGAGAATGCCGATAAAATAACCTAACTTTGATCACGTTGAAGTATATGCCATAATAGAATAGAATCCGCTCCCCTCCACAGAAAAAAAAATTCAAAGCTTATAATAACATTGAATAAGAAGAAAGCGAACATTCCCCTAGAGGATTCCACCCAATGAAACATAAAAGGATTGATTTCTGAGCATTTAGAAAAAATAAAATGTTCAAACAGAAAACCGGTGAAAAGAAAAGTTTTCCAAAAAAATTATATACAGCAAGCAGAAATAAATTACAGGAGAAAAAGAAGAAAAATGCCAATTAAATCATAAAAAAGGACCAAAAACGTCCAAAAGCAAATAACAAAGACCAAAAAAAAATAAAATAAAATCGAAAAACAGGCAATATCGAGGCATCCACACAGGAGCTTACATGCCAGCAGAGACTGATCGATTCGGTCGAATCAACTATGGTGTAATACAAGCAATAAGACTAAAACTATACCCGTCGCACAAGAAGTAGCTATCGTGGCTCGGTGGTGTAGCGGATAAGGCTCTCACGTTTCAAGCCATCACTCCCCAGTCCGAATCCCGGTGGGAACAACATCACTCACTGGGAGGCATCTACATCCAGCTGACGAGTCCCAAATACGACGAAATGCGCATCCCCCACTCCACTGCTACCCACTACATATCATTAGTATACATAATTGAAGCATAGGCAATATCGAGGCATCCGCACAGGAGCCCATATGCCACCGGGGTCTGTTTTGTGCATTGAATTCCGCTTCTTTTCACGCCCTTTCAATGAATTATATAGTTTTTTAACCAACTGTTTTGCATCTTTTCCTGATAAATTTTCTGGCATTTGCCTCTTGTTGTTATATTTTTTGTCGTTTTTTTATTTCTGTTTTTATTGTGACTCCGGCGCTCTAATATTTCGTGTATCTCGCACCGTAGTGTTTTTTTATACAACTGTAACTTGCTGAATGTTTTCAAATACTAATTTTCTGGATGCTTTCCTAGGTGTGACATTGCTTCTTCATCAGCTTGATGACTGGTCTTGTTTGTTAGGCGCTCTAACCAAGGACATTCTATTACTTGACAGCACAACTGAACAATCTGTTTCGTTAACTTGATACAGAATAACAAGTAAGTTACAAAAGGCACATGATATAATCTAATCTTATGTCTTCTCAAGATCAAACAAATAAAAAGACACCCTTTAAAGTGAGCTAGATTCACAACGCTTTCGTATCTGGAAATATGTCCATCATTGCATATACAGTTACAGCCCGGAAACTAATCAGTAATTTTTGGCGATACGCTAAGTTCTATTAGTGAATAAGAATCACTTGCTATGATACGGCTCACTACTCGAGGTGAATTTCGTATATAATGAAATCAAGCATTTAAAAACTGAAGTAGTTTTTATTTATAAAATAACTTTCATTCATATAACGTTGAATAGCATTAGGATAAAATTTTAAGCAGCTCGTCCAGATTTAATTGTCCATCCCCATCTTTGTCATGCTCACTGATGAATTTCTGAACCTGATTTTTATTCAATGGACAATTGGCAGTCTTGAGGAAATCTAGAAGTTCCTGTGTGCTGATTTTACCACTTTTGTCTTTATCAAGATGTCTTAAAAGTTGCTCTGCTTCTGCACGGCTAAAGTAGTGGAAACGGTTTAGTATAAAATGTGAAATATTTAGGGCAAAAGGCAGAATTCAAACTTTTAAATACGTCCAAGTTACCTGACCATTCTGACGTGACACTGTAGAGTATCTCTGAAAACAAATGGATTGGAAATGAAGAAAACATGAAGTAAAGGATATTGATAATGAGGAAAACTGCTCGTAACAATACTTACCGCGAAACTATCTTTAAGGCATTCATTTTTCGCTTTTATTTCTTTTTCTAGCCAATGATCGAAAGTGTGGGCGTTCATGTGATAATACTTTGATGGGTTGTGAACAATAACTAATGGAAGTCAGACCATTCGACTTAACACAGGTCAGAGAACTCACCAATCAATATATCGGAAATTCCTGAAATTTGTGTGGGTGGTATGCATGAAAGTCAAATATAATTGGCTATTTCACACACGCCAATGAAGTTATTGCAGTATAATGACGTGATTAAGAGGAGGGTAAGATATTCAGGTGGGTTGTCTTGTCGGTGCTTCCAGAAATCTATTTTGTACTGGATTCGTTACTAAGCTCATGCTCACAACTGAGGCCACCAATGAAGTACTCTTAAGTAAAGTGACATCGATTAGTTTTCTTGTCACCAGCAACACTCAGTTGTGTATGAATGTGATGCGAAATCAGGATACTGATTTCTCAAGGCTGTTATAACAGCCTTTCTATTAAGTTTTCTTTTCAGTATTCAATGGGTAGCTGTGCAACACATCACATCGTCGTCCTATTCCACTACTTCCAAGAAAAAAACCAAAAAGTCAGAATCACGGCAGTCAAAATTACTGAGCAAGACTACTTAGGTGGATTGACGTATGAGGTCGGTTGAATCAAGAAATAATCAGTTTAACATGTGCCTAACAGTGTTAACACACTAGCATCAGTCAAATATCATTCAGCGCTCGAATGAAACCTAGCGATAAATCATACAAATATGATAATATGAGTTAAAGCATAGTTTCGATATTAGGAAATGTATATGAAGTGTAAATCAGATAATGTGCACATTACTAAATGTAGAAGTCACAGATATAACACAGATGAAAGGAAACAGGGGAATGTAGAGAATGGATGCCTAAATCGCAATGTTCGCCACTGATACATATCGAAAATACAATAATGGAGCATGGTGGAGAATAACTTAACCAGATGTGGCTGATTTTAGTAAGGAATAGTCCCCGAGCTGAGTGATTCGGCGTGAAGAATGCACAAAATAATAACATGAAAAGTAAAGAAATAGACAGAAAATCTAAATACACAAGATAAAAATGAGAAAACTGATACATACAACCACAGAAAGGAATGAGGAAAAAATGAAAAAAACACTAAGTCAGAAAAACAGAAGTGAAGGAAAAATGGGGCGAAAGATATATGGAGAGGAAGAAACAAGAATTAAAAGAGGGAGAAAAGGTAAAACTGCAGAAAAAGGGACTGCAAAGGAAACATAGGATCCGAGTTAAATAGTGGTAAGGAAGTATTTGCACAACAAGTAGGATATGACCAAGCAATGTGTTCATGCCAGATAAAAGAGACGAATATTTTGTGCGTCACACGCATACGTGCGAATATTGAACCATATTTTCACGAAAGCCAATGTGAATGATGTGCTGCCGTAGACAATATACCATCCATTATATAACATATTTAATGAGTGTATTCCATGATGCCATTCTAATTTATTGACTGGTATCACACTGTGGAACACTTTTATCTCACTGATGGCGTTTCTATCTTCATGACAATAATGTGTGATACATACTGGAAAAGAAGTGCAATGTGAAATGCACATTGGCTTCAGAAATTCACAAAATGAGGAGGTTCTTCTGAAATTAGTTCGGCGACAATCGGCAATTTTCACACAAAGCTGACGTCGACATGTCACGTGTTTGCGTTGAGACAGTGTTGTCGCCTTTATGGAAATACACGTAATCACCATATGTACAGGTGTTTCAATCAATCAGAATCAGAATACACCAGACTGAGTCGTCGCGTCTGCCACCACTTACAACAAGCATACAACCTACAAGTGAATATTTCGCTAGCCTCAAATGAGCAGCGATATACCGCTGGAATACTCTCCCACTGCTGTCTAATTTACACCTTAACCATATTACCAGATCTTCAGCTATACGTTCCCTCATCAAAGTACCCATAGCCATCTTATTCTTATAACTGCGGTTGATATGTGCTGAAAGCGAAGCTTTACAAACCCCAGCAAACCAAATACTGCAGGTTCGTTTCCATCCTACCATCATGATAAAGTAGTCACCTGCAAAATTGAAAACTAGTCACAACACTCCAAGAATAATCTAGCACCCACAATCTTTAGATGGATAAGCCTTAACATATTTCTCCTCTCAGCTTCATCAAACGATGATCACTACACCTGGCAGAACACGTTCAGTGCCGATTAATTAACATCAACCATTCATGACTATGAAACGACATTCATAATACCACGCAGAACCCGTCCACTCATAAACAATTCACAACAATTTAATATTAGTGAGTCACACCAACGGAATTCTCAGACAGATATTGCCACATCAATGCACGTGTCACAATAGCATAAATACCGATGCAACTGAAATGTGCTCAAGGCGGAGGTTCACCAACTCCAAAATTACACGACTGTTCGCAGTGGGTCATATCTTAACATCATGACAAAAACCTCACTTTCAAAACCAAGTGCCAAGCACAAGTAAAGTGAGATAGGAACTTTTACTGCGTGAATTTCTGTAGTTTCTGCTACATAGTGAGCCAGAAGTGTCATAAAAATACGTATGGTAGGGCCGGGTACCGCTTCACTGTGGCCTCTGGTATGCAGTGTAGCGAATGTAAGAGCTGGTTCCACGGTAACTGCACAAGCCACACACCCCCAGCATATAAGAGGTACAGCAAGGCAGGAAGTATCTGGTTTCGTACGTTGTGCTGCTCGGATATTCGCACTCTGGTAGAAGAAGCAAAGGCATTTCTAAATACGATAACTAAGAAACTGTCGTCGAAAGTCAAAGCCGATAACTGTGACAGTGATAACGACACAGGATCCATTGACACAGATTGCTGTGCAAAATTTTAAGAACGTCCCACGACAGGCTGTAAGTCGGGCGCGTAGACTACCTTCTAGGTTTACTGACAGCTACTTGGAAGAAACTACACCAAGCAGGGTGAAACAAATATCTTCTGGCTCTCGCATCCCCAGGGCTGGAAGACCTAGTCTGAAAACTGCTGACCGTAAGACTAGGTTTACTTCAGATGAAAGAAACAGGGATGAAACGCTCTAAGTTCCAACGACGGAACCATGCAGGCCGCAGGTCATGCCCAGTTCGGCGACCCAATTATTGATGAAAATCACACAGAATGGGATGCAAGTCCGTTCTGAGGCTTTCAGTGCCAAGATCACTGAACTAGGCGTTAGTAAATCTTGCATACCCGACTTTGAAAAATGGCAAGTAACAGCCTAAACAGCATACTAAGAGGCCGATGACGGTAACCGAGCCAGCTATCATCACTCCACATAGCAAAGACAAAGTAGAGCTCCTTGACAGGTCCGTAATCTTCTACAGAGTGGAAGAAAGCACAGACCCCTAACCACGTAAACGTTTCGAACATGACCTTGGCAAGGTACAAAGTTCAATAAACCAGCTTTTACCAGAAGACATGCCAGAAGTCATCCTACTCAAGATATATAGAGTAGGGAAACAGGAAACAGTCATCACTGGAAATAAGTTTCGGCTACTTAAAGTCAGCAGATGAGAGGAATCAGATTCAGAAGAATGCTCACAGACTTCAAGGGTCTAGAGTGTTCGTGCGAAAGGATCTGTCTCTCGCTGACCGAATCATAAAACGAGAAGCAGAAGCAGAACCTAAGTCCAGAGTAGCAGCTGGAGAACAATATCTGAAAGTAGTGGGTTTTCTTGTAGTGAGGTTTCGGCAACAAATGATGCCGAAGCCTCTATGGATAGGGCGGAAACTCATTTAAGTAGTTTCATCATCTTGTACACAAATGCACGTAGTCTTTTAAACAAGTGGGCTGAGCTTAGTAATGTGATAAGCAACGAAAGCCATGACATCATTGCTATTTCAGAAACTTGGTTCTTTTCTTGGATAAGTGACTGTGAAACACACTTACGAGGATTCGTCACTTTTAGAAGTGACAGGTTAGCAGGCAAAGGTGATGGTATCATACTTTAAATTAAGAATAACTTAGCTGTAAAAGCCGTAGAAACAATTGCACATGAAAGTGGGACATGTGAAATGCTGCGCTGCCGACTAAAATGCAAGGGGCAAGGTATGAACGTAATCGTAATATATCGAAGCCCTGATTGTGAGGCAGCAGACTTCCTCCTGAGTAAGCCGACCCTCTGGACAGGTAAATGCCGATATCTAGTTGTAGAAGACTTCAACTCACCATCAGTTGATTGGGATAGGCTAACAACGAAAGCACCACGCAATTCCTTTGACCAGCGGTTAGTGGAAATATCAATTTCCTTAGCCCTCATACGCCACATTAGGACACCAACCAGATATGATCATCAGCATGCTCCATCAGTTCTAGACCTAGTATTCTCACATAAAAATGATGTGTGCACCCCTTGGTAAAAGTGATCACGCCGTGGTTATTTTCAGATTCACAGCAGATGTCTTGTACCAGGCCGATGCCCCAGCTAGGTTCAACATATGGAAAGCGAATATAGAAGCTATTAACCTGGCAGCCTCTTCGGAGGACTGGACAGTCATTCCAGAAGCCTGAGTTGAAGATGCATGGTGCTCCTTCAAACAGTTATATGGACGAGTGACCCAACCGTTCATTCCGTGGACTGTCTCGATGGGACAGAAACACCGTCCTTCATGGATAGACCACGAAACCCGAATCTTGCCACGACGTAAGAAAAAGTGTTAGAGTCTTGTCACCCACCTCAGAACACCTAAAGTGGTGTAAAATTACAAAAAAGCTCGCAATAAACGTATTGGTGCTATCCGCCGGTCTCCAATATGCTTTGAAACACGTCTTGCCCATGCGGCATTGCAACATCCGAAGAGGTTGTTTTCTTATATGAACTAT